TCTCGTGGAGTCAATGCTAAGAAGAATCGCCGCAGTATTGAAGGCAAAAGGTGGCCCAATGAAGTACTGATGGGGTGGTCATAATAATCTGGCCACTCAGTGTATTTCCTAACACATTTTATGAGATCAACATAATCCTGATACCAAAACCTGGCAAAGATAACACACACACAAAAAAAGATCTGATGGATACAGATAACACACACAAAAAAAGAGATCTGATGGATACAGATGCTAAAATCCTAAACAAAATACTAGCAAAGCAAATAAAACAATTCATTGAAAAAAAATACATCACAATCAAGTGAAGATCACTCCATGGGCACAAGGATAGTTCTACATATGCCAATCTATCATTGTAATATGCCACACTCATTAACAAAAGATAAAATCATATAATCTTATCAACAGGTGCAGAAAAACATGTGCTAAGATACAACATCCATTTATTATTAAAGCACTCAATAAAAATGGTATAGAAGTAAAGCATCTCAACATAAATAAGGCTGGATATGACAAACTCTCAGCCAATATCATATTCAATGATGAAAAACTGAAAGCTTTTCTGATAAAGTCAGGAAGACTAGAATACCCAACTCACCACTCTTACTCAACATAGTTCTGGCTGTCCTAGCAAGAATAATCAAGCAAGAGAAAGAAATAAAAGACATACAAATTAGAAATGAAGAAATAAGTGTCAGTTTTTGGAGAAGACATGATTCTTTTGTAGAAAACTAAACAGTAAAGACTCCTCCAAAAAAACTATTAGAAACAATAAACAAATACAGTAAATTGCATAACACAAAATCAATGTACAAAAATCCACTGTATTCCTATATAGTAACAATGAAGTTTCAGGGGAAAAAATGAAAGAAATTCCTTTTTGCGATTGCAAAAAAAATAAAATAAAATATCTTGGAATAAACTTAAGAATGTGAAGGATAGGTATACTGAAAACTAAAAACCATTATAAAAGAAACTGAAAAAGACACAGTAATGGAAAGATATTCCATGTTCATGGATTGGAAGACTCAACATAGTTAAAATGTCCATATTACCCAAAGCAATACACAGATTTAATGCAATCCCCATCAAAATCCCAATGTCATTTAAAAATAAATAGAACAAAAAAACCATCAGATATGTAGAGAACTACAGAAGACCCCAAATAGCCAAAGCAATCCTGAGATAAAAGAGTGAAGCTAAGAGAGTTTCAAGATGGCGGTGGAATAGGTGTATCTTTCTCCCACTTCCTTCAAGACCCAAGCTGGAAAAAAACTAAGTTGGGGAACATTCACCTTTAATTAACAACTGAAGACTAGCTGAAGAGAAGACTTTTAAACAAGGAATGGCAGAAACCAGAAATCACCTCGAGACTGGTAGGAAGGGCAGGATTTCAAGAGGGCTGGCCCCACTTCCCCCGGCAGCAGGAGGAGATTTCAGGAGGTCTCGGCTGTGTGGGTTCCCCCTGAGAAAAGTGAGGCCTGGACCCCAGACTAGGCTCCTCAGCTTGAGCCGGGAACAGCTGCTAATGTAACATCCAGTGGTAAACAGCGGTGGGGCTTCTTCTTCTATGGAAAGACGGAGCCTGCTGTAGCCAAAGACGCTTTTTAAAAAAGGGCTAGAGCATAGGATTTTCATTTGCAGCCACTCATCCTGGGCTTTGGCAAAGGAAGGCCACTGTGGGCTGGAGTCATCTGAGAAGAGACTGGGGTGGGAGGCATTGAGGAAAGACATGGAAGAGTAGTTACGGGGATCCCTGTGCTCAGTCAACCATTCCCCCAATGCTGCTGCAGTCTTTTTTCCTGAGGCACGAGCCCCTCCCAGCAGCACCAACCTTGGGAAAGGCAATTATCCCACTCTCTGGGGTACAGCTCACCCCACCCTCTGGAATCCTGTGGGCCCCACCTTCTGGAATCCCGCATGCCCCACCCTGCATGTTTACCCCTGCTGAGAAGGCAGCAGCAGAGGCCAGACCTATGGGAGAGGTGACAGACACTCCCAGCTCTGGCAGACCCCACCAGCCTGCCTACAAGGGGCTCTGCCCTAGCAAGGTCAGGGAAATATTGTGTGCCAGACTCAGATGTGTGGCTCTAAGACAGGGAAACACACCCAACATCTTCCTTGAAGTATGAATGTCACCTCTCCCTCAAGGGAGATCCAGAGGTCACATTATCCTGATTCCACCAAAAGTCATTTCAGAAACAGCCTTTTCAGTGACTAAGCCTGATAGCCAGGTGGCAGGTAGATGTGGGTGGAGGCAGATCCCTAGGTGCCTTGGGATGTTGCCTGACCCACCCGGGCCTGTTACTGTTAAAAGCTGGCCTTGCAGTGCAGCATAGCTCCTCCTGTGCTCAGCCAAGCCCTCTGGATCACTTGAAGCTTTGAACAGGTTGCTGAGAGCCAAACATGGACAGATTCTAACATTGGCTAGCACAAAAGTACCTCCCAGGAGGACCAGAACCAACACACAAAACAGTCAGCCTCAAACAATGCAAGAGCAGGATCCAAAAAGAGATCCCAGCAGGCACTAAATCTGCCAAGACAAACTCCACTTTCTTCTTTTTCATTTTCTTTGTTTTACTTTTTTATTGTTTTAATTTTTTCCTCTTTTTTGTTTCATATCTCTTATTTTTCTATTTCCTGTTTTTACTCTACTTACTTTTCTTTCTCGTTCTTTCTCTTATTTTTTCCTTTTCTTACTTTTCTTTTATCCTTTTAAAAAGTTTTTTCATTCTTATTTTTTAATCATTTTTCTTCTCCTATTCTTTTTGTTGTTGTTATTAATCCTCACCTGAGTATATTTTTTCATTGATTTTTAGAGTGAAAGGGAATGAGAGAGACACAGAGAGAGAAACATCGATGTAAGAGAGACACATCAATTGGTTGCCTCACCCATGTGCCTCAGTCAGGGCCAGGGACCCAGCCTTCAACCAAGGTATGTACCCTTGACTGGAAATGAACCCAGATTTGTTCAGTCTGTGGACTGATGCTCTATCTACTAAGCAAAACTGGCTATGGCTCCTATTCTTTATTCTTATTTTTTCCTCTCCCTTCTTTCCTTTCATATTCATTATTCTTGCCCTTTTTAAAATTCTCGTATTCTTTATTTCCTCTTCTTACTCTTATTCCCTTTTCTCTTTCCTAACTGTTTTTTCTTTTGTGGTTGTTTTTGTTGTTGCAGTGGGTTCTTTTGTATGTTTTTTGTTTGTTTGTTTCTTGTTTTATTTTGTATTCTTATGTTAGCTTCTGTACTATAGCTCACATGATGTGGTGGGGGTTGAGCTTTACAGACAGCCAGACTGACAGGAGGTCCTGTGGGCCCCACCTTCTGGAATCCTGCATGCCCCACCATGAACCAGACAACAAAATCAAGACCCAATTACAACAAAAGAGCCCAAATAATCCACACAAGGAACATTCCAAAAGCATCAAGCTAAGATCAAAGTGACTGCACCATTGAGTCCCAGGACACGAACTACATAAGGCCAACCCATAAAGACTGGGAGTCATAGCAGTCCTATCTAATACATAGAAACAAACACAAAGAGACAGCTAAAATGGGGCAACAAACAAACAACCCCAAATGAAAGAAAAGGAGAAATCTTCAGAAACAAGCTAAATAAAATGGAGGTAAGCAGTTTATCATAGTTCAAAGTAATGGTTATAAGGATGTTCAAGGAACTTAGTAAGAACTACAAGGAATTTAGTGGGACCTACAGCAGCATGAGAGAGGACATAGAAACCATGAAGAAGAACCAATTGGAAATAAAGAATACTAGTTCTGTCATCAAGAATACCCTGAAAGGAATTAAAAGCAGGCAAGATAAAGCAGAGGATTAAATCAGCAAAATGGAAGACAAAGTAGAATAAAACAAACAGTGAAAACAACAAAAAGAAAAACCAATTTAAAAATAAGAGGATAGGTGAGGGAACTTTGGGACAACATAAAACAACAATATCTGCATCATAGGGGTACCAGAAGGAGAAAAAAGTCAGCAAGTGATAGAAAATGTCTTTGAAGAAACAATGACAGAAAATTTCCCTAACCTGCTAAAGAAAAAAAGTCACACAGGTTCAGGAAGCAATAAAGACAAACTCAAAAAGACCCACACTATCAATGGAAAACTCACAGGAGAGAACCCTGATACCCAAGGACTGAAGGTGGAGACAGCATAGAGACTGGTAGGAGGGGTGGAGGCTCGAAAGGGCTGGCCAGGCACCCACAGACAGCAACTGAAGTCCCAGAGAGATATCTCAGCTGTGGGGGGATGCCACTGAGAACTCTGGGATCCAATCCCGAAGCTGTGCTCCCCAGCAGAGAGCACCAAACTGAGGAGGGTAACCACATAACATCTAGTTGTGAAAAGCAGTGGGGTGCTGTCTGTTAGGGAGTGGCAGCTGAAAGTTCAGGCACCCTCTTAAAGGGCCAACACACAAAATTCCCTGTGGAGCCACCCACCTTGTGCTCTGGCAGAGAGAAGGTGAAGTGGACTGGAGCTGTGAGAGCAGAAGCCAGGACTGGGGACTCTGGAGATAGAGCTCAGAAGGCAGATACCCCAAGTTTCCTGGGCTGAGTCATTCCCTCACACAGCGGAGGACATCTTTCCCATATACTAGGTCAGCGGTTCTCAACCTGTGGGTCGCGACCCCTTTGGCGGTCGAACGACCCTTTCACAGGGGTCGCCTAAGACCATCCTGCATATCAGATATTTACATTACGATTCATAACAGTAGCAACATTACAGTTATGAAGTAGCAACAAAAATAATTTTATGGTTGGGGGTCAC